ATCCACTGAGAATCACAGAGCTTCTTACCTTGTTGAGGTGTGGAGTCAGAGAGAGAAGTCCGGTTGTTTGAGGTCTGGAGTGGTTTCAAAATAAACCCTCCGACGACGGAGAAATTATATAAAAAAAAAAGAAACAAAACAAACACCTCTGATGTATGAAATGATCTCAAGGCGAAACGAGAAGCTTAGAGCTCTGATCCGTTTCCGATGCTCTGAGTGCTTTTGTTTGGAGGAGGAGAGTCAGAAAGTAAAGAGCGCAGATCTGCAGAAAGATGCTGCTGAACACGAAGTGCTGCTGCTGCTGCTGCTGCTGCTGCACGGAGAGGAGGAGACAGACGGAGAGCGTGTTGGTGTGTGCGTGTTTAACAGCCTGAGAGGCTCCACGCAGCGTGGACAGCCTGTCAACAACACTGGACAACAACTAACAATAAACTGGGCCTGTTTAATACTGCTTTTTTTTTAAACCTTCTTTATAAGCAGCTTCTATTATAAAATAGGGCAGGTAAAGTAAATAATTAGTTTAATAATAATAATAATAATAATAATAAAATAACAACAGCAATAATAATAATAGTACTAAAAGTAATAATAAAAAATATTATTATTATTATTATCATTATTATTCATAATAATAATAATAATAATAATAAAGCAATAATAATAATAATTATTATTATACTAATGATAATTAGTATAATAATTATTATTACGTTGTGCTTGTCTCTTTAAAAGCCGCAGGTTTCCCGCCACTGACGGCAAACCCGGAAGGAAGCGTTAGCCAGGAAGCTAACTGTGCATTAGCATTAAGATAAATCTACTAATTTATCAGGTAGGTGTAAAACTGTTAAACAGCCGAATATTTTGGATGTATTCATTTTTAACATTAAATACAAACTAATATCACTGTTGAATATTTTGAATTATGTTTTTTTTTTATTGTTTTTGTAAAAGAAAAGCTGGAAAATAGCTCACTTTTAACATTGAATTCGTTGATATGTGTTGTTCAGTTTTAGGTTAAATTAAGCTTGATCTCTATTCACTGTTTATCGAAAGATAATAGATAGTGTATAGAGATAAAACTACTCAAAAAAGTACTTTGAAAAAATATCTCATGCAAATATAACTATTTTCTACTCTGTGTGTAGAGGGAGAATTAGCTTTGGCTGTTCCTGTTCAGCTGACCATACCGGGCTGTCACAGGGTCTGAGCAGTGATGCGAGATAAAGTTGAAGTTTTCCAGCCCAAATATCTGTTAAAATCAGCCACATCACACAACAACCCAAGTAATATATTGTTATATTTTCTGTGTGAACATGAACACACTTCAGTACAACTTTATTCAACACTGCATGTCCAAACAAAACGCTACAATCCAACAAAATTTGCCCAGAGTTGTTGTCCATAAGACACTCTGACCCAGCCACCACAGCCATGTCAGATCCAGTGAGGGAAATGGGACACATCATGTTAAGAATCAAATCTCTTTTAGAGTCTCAACATATTATTACCTACATTTGCTATTATTTTACCTTTCATTGGTGACCTAAAGCAGCCAAAAGTAGAAAACAATCATTCTAAGTCTTGAAAGAAAGAACTGCGTTCTAAGATTCAGCTCTACCATTTAACAAGATGCGGGGAAAAAACAACGAATTGCTTATTTTTTTTTCTTTTTATTAAGATCTGAGGACAGGAAGGACAAATGGAAAATCTCAAAAATGACTTTCGTAGAGATTTTAGACAAATCAAACAGTTATTTCACTTGTAGAAAACGAACAGTTGTTGTTGACACAAAGTTAAAAGTAGTGTAGCTTAATATGGCTAACTGACCAGGCTAACCTGTTAGCTACTGAGCACAGTTAGCCACAGCGCTACCCTGCTCTCTCCCTTTATATCACAGTCTTGCAGTTATTTTGTTCACCATAAGCATATTTTTTTCAGTTTGTTATCGAACAGGTAAAACTTCATCGATCATTAGACATGCTAACGCTATAGAAGCTCCCGACTCGGCACACTGATGCTGCGCAATATTATTATCGTTGTCTGGGCAACCATAATGTTTTACATTATTTGGCAACGTTCAGCCAATCATGTAGCGTAACGTCACTTGCATGACCAGGACCTGAGCAGATCTGGTACCTACACCGCTACTAACATGTTTGCAGATGGATTCCTAACCACATAGACTGCTCCTCTTTTTACATTTAGAAAACAAACTATGATCAGTGCGCACACACAAATATGCTAAGCTTATTTTTACTTAACTGAAATAATTACATTTATTATTGTTGATTTTGAATTCTTACCTTCAATGCTGATTAGATTGTTGGCTGGAACTTTGAACATCAGAACGCTGAACTTTACTCTTATTAATTATAATACAATCCATTGGGATTGTGATCAGTACATGGTTGAATGAAATCTCCCCAGTAACTTTCAGGGAGGATGGAATGTTGCTGATGTCCATCCATTCTGTGTTAGTCCAGTTCGCACATCCATCAAACTTCACAGGATCGGCAGACCCATGCGATTTCCCGACTCGACTTTAGGCAGAGCAACTTATGAAAAAACTCTTTCAACTGAAGCCTTTGATATGGGGAGGGTGAGGAGTTTAATTGCACCAAGCGCTAAATCCCAAAAAGCAGCGGTTTCCTCCAGCTCCTTTAAAAGTTTCCTTTTCCAACCAGAACGCATCGATCGTCAGCACTAGGTTTATCACACCAGATACACCTGCAGCTAAAACTAGCATAATCTGTGGCACCACTACACTAGTTCTGTGTTGTAAACACCCTGGCAGATGACATTAGCTAATCAGTGATGGAGAAAGGTCAGGGAGGCTTTGCTATGAACCAGTAATGATGAACGATTGGTGGACATGTGTTAACTCAAAAACTGCCTATCTAACTAAGAACCAGCCCAAGCAATTTTACCCTCAAAATGAAAACTGCCAAATCTGGCAACACTGGCTTTAGGTCTTAAGCTTGTTGCATACCCACCAAGGAACTCAAATTTGTTTTAGCCTTGGCAAGAAGAAGAAACATTTTTTTTTTTTTGCTACCAAATATTCACACTTCCCCGAAGCTCAGCTACTGAACTCACAGAAACATATGGAACTCCTGTAGCTTATTGTACACATGTGACAGAAAACACAACAGGAAAGTGAAGGCAGAGAAGGCATTGATGTCAAAGGATGACGAAAAGGAGACGGAAATGCTTTATATATTACTTGAGGAGGTATCACACTAATGTTAATATTTTTTCACAACCTCTAGCAGCCGAACCTCAACTTATCCATTACGTAATGGATAGTTACACAGATTCCTTTACATGAAATAACTTTCAGTATGTGTGACCCTTAGAAAACGTAACGTTGCCAATCCAAATCCTGACCAATCGCACAACTGTTCTCAGACACAATAAAAAAAACTTCTGCCCAGGCATGTCAACAACAAGCAGTGAGAAAGCCCAATACAGGCCGGCTGGAAAAGAGTTTGCTCTTCCTCTGAGAGTGAAAAAAGACTTAATGTAAATTGTGGAGCTTGTAAATATCTATTAGGGCTGCTGATTAATTAATTTTATTGATTAATATCTGAGTACTTTTTAGGAAAGATTTCATAATAACAAAAACTGTTTATTTTTTATTCCACCAAAGCACTTCCTGGGCTTTCTCAGCCTTTCTCAGCTCAAAGTGACATCAGTTCATCACTTTTTGTTCTTAGATGTCTCCTCATCACTGATCAACTAGCTTAATGTCTGACGTCAATAGTTGCAAACAGTTTGTTTTTTATATATTCATCTTTTTGTTGTGAAACCTGATTATTTAACAAGCAGATTTCGCAGGTTGAATTTCCTAACCCTTTAGGTCACCCAGTGAGGATTATTGAAATAAAAGGTGTTTTTCGAAAGCAACACAAGCCTCTAGCTTAAAAATCCCTCTCAGGGCCGCTAGCAGAGAAGAAACAAGCCCACAGCATCATAGATCCTCTGCCGTGCATAACATTGGGTAGAATGTTCCTTTCCACACCTTCCTTCTGTTCAGCACTAAAGCAGCCCACTAACCGAAGCACTTAGCTCCGTTTAAAGTTTAGCAGTCTGAAAACCTACATGTTTGTTAGGGTACAACAAATTTTTTTTTTTTTTTAAAGGCACACCTCCAAAGCAACATGTGGACAACAAATAGCATCTGTTTTACCCGTCTTTAGTGTTCCATTTACCTTGTTTTTATTAGCATATATTGTTTATATTTCCAGTCTGTACTGATGATTTGGTGCTGCACTGATCAAATTCCAGAGTAAGCTTAGGAGGAAAACCTCAGAATAACTTCTTACACTTTATCATGTTCTAGATATATAAGCTCATAGTCTGTTGTTAGAAATCTAATGAAGATGGGTTTACAAATGTAAATAAATAGCTTAAACCTCTTAATGTCCACCTCATTTCTGGGAAATTTGCCTGTTTTGCTTACCCAAATGGAAAAGCAAATAACTGAAGAAAAGTAAGCCCAAATTACATGTGTGATACGTTATTTGAAAGCCAACACCTTCTAGTTTCTGAATATATACATGAAAATTGGACGCGTAAAACAACCAAGCTGCATCAGTTCAAACTTGACTCAAAGTTGTTTTTTTATTCTCGAAAATTTTCTTTTTTTTGGACAGCAGTAATAAAGACAGGCTTGCTTGTTGTGGCTGCTTTATCATGCTAAATTTCAAAATCCTGCTATAATTGTGCTTTGGTGCTCGCTGTGTCCATAAAATGAACTTGGTGGTTGAATTGTGGAGAATCTAAGCTTTCCAATGATGTCTAACATGTCTATATTGGTAAACATTTTACCAGTGTAATTTTCATGCATTCTGAGTTATTATTTGTAAGCGCTTTAAAACGGGTTGGCGGTTTGGGGTTGTGAGAGGTTAAAGTAAAGCTTCCTAATGAAGAGATGTTTCCTTGTGCTTTGGTCAATCTGTCAATCTGTTTTGTGCTTTAGGGATTGTCAGAAGAAGACAATGGAAGGTATCAGTCTACAAACAGAGCTCTGTTCCCCAAAGCAAGCCAGACTGATGAGCGCTGCCCATGTAGAGTCATATATAGAGTGTGTGATCGCTGAGGGTGATGAGGATGAAACTCCTGTTAGCCGTGGTGTCTGCCTTCAAAATGATGAGAGTCTGGAGACTGGGGCTCAGACCAATCCCAGTCTGTTCCAGTCAGGCCCCTTCTGTTCAGACCAGGGGCCTGACACCCATCCCTGTCATACTTTAAACCAGCTGGAGAGAAATCTTAGGAGAGAGGAGACTCATTTCAGGGAGGATGTTCCTCAGAGAACAGCAGAAGGAAGCAGTTCATGTTGCTCAAAGCTTGAAGGCGATCTCTCTCAGAAATCAGCGCTTCTGATCTGCGATAAAGAAAAAGAAGGTCAAGTCGATGAGAACGGCCCGAGCAAGACCTTCATCGGATGCTCTGAGGGATTGACCCATTATAATCAGTTTGTCTCAGGCAGGAATACGTCAACTAGAATTGTGACTTTTGAAGAACACGACTATGTTGGAGCTGATCTTTCAGCGGTGCTCCCAGCTGCTGATAGAGTCAGCCAGGAGCCCGCTGAGGGAGATAATGAGGCAGACGCCTTCAGGGTAATTGACCCCGTAATCTGGAGTCAAATTGGCAGGGAGGCTGAATGGCTCCTCTGCAGCTCAGACGGCAATGCAGGTGGAGAATTATCTCTATCAGTTCAAGTGTGCGAGGTGGAAACAAGCCCTGAAGTCAGAACATCACAGGATTCCTCCTCAGACTGGACCGGGCAGCTTCAGGACCAGAGGACGCCTCTGACACACTCAGAACCTCTGGCTTCTTCTGCAGCAAGCGACAAAATGCAAGAGCAGACGGACGGCGAGGGCGGCCATCACTGGGAACCTGGTCCTGCTGGAGATGATGGTGTCTGTGGGTCAGCAGGTCCAAATCTGTCCATCTGCTCAACTGTCCAGCAGCTGGGACCCTCAGCGGAGGAGGCTGCTGGGATACAACAGCTGCATCTTCCAAAAGGGAGAGAATCTGATGAACTGAGAGACTGCATCTGTGACCAGAGAGGAGGAGACAATGAGACAAAGTGTGATGATGATGATGATGAACAGAGGAAAAAGCTTGGTGAAGATTGGAGGGCGGATATTTTGTTAATGGAGGGGGAAGAAGAGAAATGTGAACAAGAGGTCAAAACAGGAGGAGACATAAACGCTGACGAGAGAGAAACTGCGGAAACACGGAGAGAATTCTGGGAGGATGAGCAGAAACAAGGTTGGGTTAAAGAAGACGTAAGCCAAGCGTCTCCTAGAGAGGATGCTAGTGAATGGATGGAGAACACGTCCAGCTTCTGTGATGAAGATCCAGAACAAAGACTTGGATGTTTGGCTCATGATCCAGACACACCTGACATTCCCACGCTCTGCGCGGTCCCACCTGCCAGCGACGCTGTGGTTCCCTGCCAGTCTCTAAATGCTCACCATGGCTCCACATCCCTCAGCAACCTCACATACTTCCCATCCGCCTTCTCTTCCTACAATCCTGGGCTGGGCGGTTGGGACACGTTTGAAAAGGTCCAACTCTCTCCAGATGATGATGATGATGATGGAGGCCCGGGCATCATGCCTGTCTTCACCAGACAGCTGCTGAAACCTCCCCAGGAACAAGGAGAACCCCGCATCCAAGCCACAGGGAGTGAGATTAATAAGAGAACGCTTGAAGAGGAGGAGGAGGAGGATGAAGGCCCTGTGTGCAACACTGACAACATGGAGAGCGGATTGGTCTCCGGCGATTCCTGTTGTGATGTCCAAAGCTTTATGTCAGCAGCAGACGTCTCTGCGTGCACACAGCTGGAGGAAGAGCCCAGCTGTGGGTCAGCATCTCCTGCTGTCCCCGCTGAATGTCCCCATCTGTCCTCTGATCTGAGCGGCTTTGACTTTGAAATGAGGGAACAGTTCGGCAGGGTCCTACAAGAACTCAGCTTGTTCTTTGATATTAGTAGAAATGAATTCATTAGTGACTGTAGGACATCCTCGCCTAAACCATGCAGCCATTTACCTGAATCTTTGGAGGACGACACTGTGAAACCTTCAGAGCAGCTCAGCAGACCTGGACTGGGACCCTACGCTCACACATCCACAGGTAACAGTGCTGGAAGACACAACCAATGACGCAGCTTCTAAATAAGCCACTGTTTTAATAGAATATCTTTTGCACATTACACCAGTTCTTCCATAACGATCCATTTTTCCATTTTTGGCATATTAAGATCTGAAGAAGCGTATGCTGGTGAAGATTCTCAGTCCTCCAGGTCGTAGTTATTCCAAAAAAGTTTAAAAACAATCCACTGGACTTTGTTTCCAAGTTTGAAGACATTTCGCTTCCCATCCAGGAAGCTTTTTCAGCTGTTACAAAAAGTTGTTGCTTTTTGTATGAAGCAACTCTACGCTATTTCTGACATTTGAATTGAAAAAGCTTCCTGGATGGGAAGCGAAACATCTTCAAACTTCAAACAAAGTCCAGTGGATTGTTTTTTTTTTACTTTTTTGGAATCTGAAAAAGAAAACTTTGAAAAATAATATCTGAAAAAGAAATTATCTGGTGGAAAAAGAACAAATTCCTTTAAATCAGCAAAACAATACTTGGAAAAATAAGATCTAAAAACATTAAAATGAATGAAAAACTGGAAAATATTTTTTAACACATCTGAAAAAAAGTTGAGAGAAAATTTAAAAAAGCTAACGGTAAAATATTGATTCAAATTTTGCATATTTGTTATAAATTTCTTTTCAAACCAGTTTTTTGATTAAAAGTTAGTCAAAATTACATTGTTAAATTTTATTTTGTCTTTTGTTGTGTTTTTTTAATATTGGAACAAAATTCTCAGAAAAGAAAAGATCAACTCTTGTTTCTGTTCTCACTTGTAAAACGAATCAGTAGAAAACTAATCTTAACAGGTTTTAAAATGTCGCAAAATATTAGATTGAAGCATATATTTGGACCAAAATGTATTAATCCCTTTAATTAATTAATTGAATTGAATGTGAATTTTATGTGAGGCTTTGAAAACAGTGAAGATAAAACCTTGGAGGTAGGTACGGTAAAAATCAGTTATTTCTGTGTCCTTTTGCAGAGGAAACTGTTGAAGAGCACAGCCTGGTAACGTGTGGAGTCAATCCAGAGGTTTCCTGTCCTGTTATCAGGAGTGATGGTGAACAGGAAGTGCCCCTCATCAGAAACATGGGCCAGGAACCGGTGATGGACTATGAGGAGAAAAACAAAGGTTCCCACTTGATTTTCCTGTCCATTTGTCCAGTAGTAGTTTATCATAAACGAGGCATTGTATTTAAACCAAACTAACAGTTTGAAATCAGAAATGTTTGGTAACAGAACCAGTTCTGGTTCTGCTTTCAGAGTCCCGACAGGCAGCGGAGCCAAAAGGTCCCATTTGGTCTCCATCCTTCAGTTTTCTGCACCTGGAACAGCTGAGACAAAGTGAGTTTCATGTTTCTAGTTCTTAGTCACAGCATTTATACGCTTGCCAAACCGGGTTGGCTTATCTCAGCAGGTGTGAGAGTTTTTCACTTCTGAGAGAAAAGTTGTCAAAAATAAATTGGCAGATGTAGAAAAATATCACACCTTTATTATATGTAGTCTGGTGCAAATTAGGTGCTTTAAAGCCTGGAAAAAATCAAAATCTAGATAAGTCATTTTTCTTAAAATAAGTGCATTTGTTCTTGGATTGAGGAGGTAAAAGAGACATTTTGTCAATAGAACAAGACAATTTACACTTTAAATAAGAAAACACAATTGCATTGTCTAATTTCAAGTGTATATTATCTAATGATCTTATTTTAAGAGTAAAAATACTCATCCTATTGGCAAACTATCTAACTTACCTACTCAAATTAAGGGTAAATACACTTAATTTAGGAAATTTTAACTTATGTCTATATCGTTTTTCCAATGCATTGAAACAGCAAAGATTTAAAACTTTATATACAAGCTTTACTTGTTCTCTGTATAAATGCAGCCGTTCTGTGGAGGCTCCAGGTTTATGTATTCATTCCTTGAACACAGAGACAGAAGGACACAGCTGACAGGTCAGCAAAAAGTTGCAGAGAAGCTTAAAACAGGATTTAATTACGAGACAATTTCCCAAACTTTGAGTTTCTAGAAGCGATCTAGTAGACACAGCAAAAGTGTGGACTTTGTGTTGAAGATTCTCAGTCATCCAGGTCATAGTTATCCTAAAAAAGTAAAAACAAACAGTACACTGGACTTAGTTTCCAGGTTTGAAGACGTTTCGCTTCCCTTCCAGGAAGCTTTTTCACTTCAAACTCAATGCTTTTTCTGACATTTTGAATGTAAAAAGCTTCCTGAATGGGAAGCGAAACATCTTCAAACTTGGAAACTAAGTCTAGTAAATTGTTTTTTAACTGTTTTGGAGTGTGGACTTTTTGTTGACACTAATGTTGGAGGTGTGCAGGAATGGGAAACACAATGAAAATCTGTCCTGCTTCTCCTCATCTTCGTATTTCTGTGCTCTCTGCATTTCCCCAAATTTTCTCTTCTCTAGCTTTCTTCCTTTGCTGTTCTTTTCCTGTACTATTCTTACCTAATCTGCTAAATAAAATCATCTCTCTAACAGTTGTGGCATTGCTGTTCATAATAGAATCTCTATGATTGCAGGAGCGCCAGAAGCAGCCAGGAGACTGGAGCCTTTGAAAACCTGCTCACGGCCAATCAGGGTGGGACTTTCAAAAAGAGCCAAGACCAAACAGCTCCATCACTTTCATCCATACAAATAAAAACGGAGAAGTGGAGATTCAGGGGAGGAGATGGATGAATGTTCTCAGGAGCTCTGTTTTTGGAGACGTTATCTCTAGTTAATATAACAGTTCAGTTATCTTACTGTTAAGCTGTGGTTTTCTTCACATCACATTGTGTTGGTTTAGCTGTTTGTTATCAGCTGAGTTCAAGTCAGTCTGTAACTACTGGCACAGTATTTATTTATTTATTTATTTCTCTGTAGTATTTAACTAGTTCCAACATAACTGCTGTGATGTTTTCTACAGGTTTTTTGTATCCATTTTCTTTTCCATTTTACACATACAGGAGATCTCATTTTCCTTATTGTTGGCTTGTTTGATGCAGGTTTTTGCTGCAGCTACACGTTGTTCCTGTTATGTGTGGGTGTATTCATCCTGCCTCCATTAGGGGTTTCAATGTTCTTTGTGTGTTCCGTTATTTATTTATTTATTTTTTAACCATTAAATGAGGTTGAATGTATGTAATATTGCCTGGAGCATTCAGTGCGAGGTTGGCTCTTATCCAGCATCACTGTTCTTTATGTTCCACGAAAACTAGTTTAGAAGATCCTCCGAGTTTCTGAGTTTTTAATGATCTGCAGGTCTGAATATGTTTGGAAAAATTAAAGTGATGGTCTATTAAACACTTTGTCTACAAGAATAATACTTTTCTTTTCTTTTAAACCTTAGAAATATACATATATGATATAATGTTTTACATTTGATGTACCACTAAGTTAAAGTCATGGCTTTAAAGCACATCCTTAACAGCTATATAAAGCTACTAGTTATGCTTAAAATCTACTATAACTCATCTTTTCAATAGGCTGAGAAGTAATTATTTAGAAGAATATTTGGTCTAAATATTGAGAAGTCAAATGTGTGGCGAAAAATTTACACAATAAGCATTTCCCCGACCATTTAACATGGCGATGGCAGTATCATGCTGTGGGGAATGATTTTGTTTAGCAGTGACAGGAAGTGAAGGTGAACATTACATTTTTCTCTTGTGTTTAACATTTTTAAACGATGAATTTTCATATGGAAGCCCGTTTCCGCCACTCTGTAAAAAAAAAAAAAAAAAACCTATCTCAATATAATGAGATAGTATCTCATTATAATGAGATAGTATCTCAATATAATGAGATAGTAACTCAATATAATTGAGTTACTATCATTATATTGAGATAGTTTTTTTTTTTTTTTTTTTACAGAGTGGCGGAAACGGGCTTCCATATTTTCATCCTGTTAATTCAAAACTACTTTCTGTTGGTCTAAAAATAAAATAAGAGACAATATATATAACATTTTTAATCCGCACAGTGCTGTTAGAATTGCAATGGTTGATCATTTTAAACACATTCACACATAAAAGGGACCTTTAAAGTGTTTGTTTTTATTATTTTCTGTGATCTATAAAATATTGTGTTGGCACTTGAATTCAGAGAAAATCAGACCTCATCTCCTGCTGCTTTAGGCCCAATAAATCCTTGAAACTAGTTCTGTGAATACTTCAAATCATCAGAAACAAAGTTCAACTTTAAATCCTCTTACATTCGCTATATCTGAAAAGTGGGACTTTTCTTTCTTTTGCTTTTAACTCTGCAATAAAAAAAAAAACTACAGAGGATTTTTTTTAGATTTTCACTTGAAGTTATTGCTTCAACGGAAAAAGGAAACACAAAAGAGGAACCCAGTATGATTGTTTCGGCTTCGTACAGGTCGTTCTAAAGGCCCTCCATGTGGATTTTATCAAAGCTTTTTGAGCAGCGGGGCTTTTGGAGCTCTAAATGGAAATGGTTGGACCTTTTTGTGGGAGAGCTCAGCTGGCAGACGTGAAAACATGGGTCAGAATCAAACAGGGAAAGAGGATGGCGTTCCAGGAAGAATCCAATTCTGCCTCAGCATATTCAATCCCCTTACTAATCAGGTGCAGCCAATAAATGTGTGCAAAATGTAGATTATTTGGGGTTACCTTTTTACTGGTGGCCATCACAGTTCGTGAGTTTATTATTAGACTTTAGAAAATCTACTTTCCTTTGCATACCTTCTAAACGGATCATTTCATGTACATATCTATAGATATCTAATGGATGCTACACAAAGTTCATGCTCTATTTTTATTTTCTGTAGCTGCACTGCAAAAACAATCCAGAAATAAGTAAAAAATTGCTTAAATTAAGTATATTTAGCCTTAATTTGAGCAGGTAAATAAGATGATTTGCCAATGGAATGAGTATTTTCACTCTTAAAATAAGATAGTTAGATAATATTTACTTGAAATAAGACGATAAAATAGTTTTTTTCTTATTTTAAAAGGAAATTGTCTTGTTCCATTGGCAAAGTGTCTGTTTTACCTCCTCAAATCAAGGAAAAACACACTTATTTTAAGAAAAAATAACTTATTGAGGTTTATATTTTTTGCAGTGTGGAACCCATCCCCCGCCACACTTCCTGGTATTTTATCTGTTCTTATTGAATTGATTACACATTATCCAGTAATGATCTAGTTTTAGTAACAGTTCACTTGAAGCGCCCTTGGTGGGGGGTGGTGGGGGGGAGCACATATGCACTATTACATAACAGCCACATTTCAGAATCAGAGAATAATGAGCCATTGACACATATGTTCCACCTGGGTGGGAAACTGCTTAGAGCTTCAGTGCCAATAATGTTTGTCACTTATGAACATATTAGAGCTTCATTTAAGGAAATTTAAAAAGGGATGGCGTCAACATAAACTGCTCCAGGCTTAATATTGTCTATTAACTTTAATCAGATCTAATCTAAAAATATTTTTTAATGTATTGTGTTGTTCACAGCTTTTTTCGCTCTGTGGCTTATACTGTACCTCTCTCTTTCTTATTTCATCACCCATAATGTGGCAGTAAAAACCTGAGTATAATATTTAAAATGACACTAAAGAACTATGCAAACCTGCCCTGGATATTGAAACTATAATTTACCATGTGATTATAATTATAAGTACCATAAAAAAAATTACGCAACCACTTTTGGCATTTACTTATTCATATTTAGTTAGTTTAACACAATTGTTTTATGTCCTACCCTGCTAACATGAAACAATTGTGTTAAATGAACTAAATATGATTAAGTAAATGCCAAAAAAAGGTTGCATTATTTTTTGTCATTTCAAGAATCTTTATTGTCTTGAAACAATTGGGAAATTTTGCAAGGGTTTGTAGCTTAGATGAGAAACATATGTTGACAGAAATTAGGAGGAAAAATTTAAAGGAAACAAAGAATATAAAACCTGCATTAAAAAAAAGAAAAACAGTTTAAGAGACAAAAAAACAATCTCAGAAGAAAAATAGGTATAAGAAATGTAGCATGTGTATACTATGCATATGATGCATGTCCTTGATTAATAAATGGGCTGATGGTGTGGGCTGCAGGGGTGTTTCTGAGTGTCATCCTGGGTGGTATGACATGAACCAGGGCTCTTTTAAGGCGGATGCAGTGGGAGATTTCCCTCAGGGAGATGGGCTATGAGTTCTTCTCACAGCCCATCTCCCTTCTTCCTTGGAAGAAGCTGTTTTTAAGGTTATTTGTTGTGGATTTAACTTTTTTTTTAAACCATTCTCCTGATAGAAGTGTGAAAACTCGGTTGAATGGGATCTGGTATAATGACTCCAGGCTTTTTAGGTTAAATCCAGTCCAGATCTGGTAGATAGCATCCTATAGTTTAATTTGGTCTCCTCACTAACCATGATAAACGCCAACAGTTTCACAGTAGTGTCTCCAATCCAGTTTGTTGTCCAGGTGAACACCAACGTATTTATGCTCTTCCACCCCCTCCACTTCTACTCCCATCATGGTAATACTATTTAGATTATTCCTGTTTCTTCTGAAATCTACAATCATCTCCATTATTTGTTGACATTCAGGATCAGATGATTGTTTCCACACCGTGCCACAAATCGGTTCACCAGCTCTCTGTACTCAGCTTCTTGCCCATCTTTGATGCATCCAGTGACTGCAGAGTCAGAGTATTTCTGCAGGTGACAGGATTCTGTTTGGTACTGGAAGTTGGAGGTGTTTAGAGTAAAAGCAAATGGTTAGAGTACAGTACCTTGTGGGGCTCCTGTGCTGCTGACTAGTTGATTAGACAGCTGACCCTTCAGTCTAACAAACTGTGGTCTGTTTGTTAGGTAGTCTTTGATCTGGGTGATTGTGATGCTTCTGAAACTTTTCACAAAGTAAATCATACTAAATTGTGTTAAATGCACTGAAGAAATCAAAGATCATGATCATTGCTGCGTTGTTGGCCTTGTCTAAATGGCAGTGGGCTTGTTGAAGCAGGGGGAGGATGTCATCTTCAACCAACTGGAGGATCTTTGGGCCATTTAATGATGAGATATGTCAGATCTGTAATCATTGAGGATTGATGACTGGATTGTCTTTGGTACAGAGTTTTGCCTGCACTAAACACAACATTCACTTTCTTCATTCAGGGAGGTCTGATATAAGACAGATTCAGATGATGATTCCTGTTCAAAGGTGAGTCCAAGCGGATTCTTATCTGGTAATCTGCACAGGGAATTTATTTTTATTACATTTTTTATCTAATGTGTCACCACAGTCGTAAAAATTGGAGGGTTTTTTTGGACACGGGAGGCGTCAGAATTTAAGTGGTGTGATACGGCGACTTCAATAAAACAGGAAGAGGTGGCTTCAATTTGAAGGCAAGTGTTTTTCTTAAGGGTCCGAAGAAAACAATATTTTATACCTGTTGGGAGCTGGAGAAGTACCACCTTCCTCCAGCAGAGTCTGCCGTGGATCCTCCTGAGCCGAGCCTTCGACGCACCTGAGGCTCGTTCCATCATCAAAGGATCCACAGTATAAAAGCTGTCTTCAGACCTTGCCTCGACGCCGCAGTGTTGAATCTAGTTGGTTAGCACCTGAGCCAAAGAACCTTCTGAGAATCTTTTGTTGCCCTCTGAGTCCTGCTAGGATTCTAATCCTTTTGTGTCTCTGTTTCCAGGAAACCAGTTTTTCTCTGTGAGCTCTGGATGAGCTTAGACTGCCGAGCCTGCCCTCTGAGCCAAACCCGAAGACTCCTCTCTGGATTTCCCATGCAGCTCAGGATTAAGAGCTGGAAACCCAAAGCCAAGGTCTGCTCCTTTATCAGAAGTAAGACGCTGAAGCAGTTATGGGACTCTGCTGAAACAAACCTTCTCTGGACCCAACAGCTCCTCTCTCTGAGCTCAAACCGGAACCCTCAAGGTATTAATCTCAACATCACAAACCCAAACCCAATTGCTCTCAAAGCTAACTGCTCTGTTATCTACACAGACTCCAGTGAACCAGTCCCCAGACCTGAACCTGTTCCAGACAATATTCCATGTGCTTGTGTACAATAAACGTTGTTAAAACTTTTACTCTTGTTTCCGTCTCCGTGGTGTTCTGCATTATTGGGTCTCATCAGTGAACCCACCATGACAATACCCAGTGAAATGCAGGCATTATTTCATCATATAGTTGCCTATAGTTGACTTTGAAAGGCTTAAGAATTGTGATAAAGGACCTTTAATAATTCAAAGTCTCCCTGTCTGAAGCCTTTGTTTTCCTTGTTTAGCAGTTACTTCAGACCTCTGGTAATCCAGGGTTTAATACTGGGGCAGCCCCT